TTGAAAGCTCTTGACATCGTATTGATCTCTTGGAGGAACAAGCAACGTAGTCTGCCTCAGGCAGCCCAAGGCTATAATAGTGCTGGAAGAGATTATCGTTGTTAAGGCTGTGTCATATCGTAGTTATGATGAAAATAGAATAAATGCAGACGAGACTGTTGCTGTGTACGAGCACTGTTCCAGCCCGTGAGATAGATGCATACAGAAGACACAGCAGTAGTGCAGTCCCGATCACCATGGATCGCATGATTCTGCCCCTTTGCCCGTACCCAAGAAGCGCACAACAAATAACAGATCCTCCACGGCGCTCTTGTTTGTAGGCGAAGAGGGATCTCTCAAAACGCCGTTGATCTACCCGCTTCGAGCAAGTTGTTTGACGTTTGGACTTGAAGGCGGTCGAGTGAGTATGCTTGCTGGATGCGATCCGCACATGGAGGCGGCGAGACTGTGAGAAACAATTTTCGAAATTGTTATCCACCGGTGATGTCCCATCAGTGCCGTAAGACAGCTGACGGGCCAAAACATGTGTTTGTGAACAGGATCTGCAATGCAAGTACGATTGCCATGACGTTTCCACAAATATGGGTACTTCCTGTACATTTACGTCGGACCAGTTTGACGCTTCGGCGTGCTGTGCTAGCGTATTCGCGAATCCCTGTCGCACCTCAGACATCTTAAGGTCTGCGTTGAATTATTTCATCTGATGATGTGGATTGCGATCCCTGGGTCACAAGCACGGACACAAGGCGTTGAATCAACTGCGCCTGGCACACTCATGTATCTCTCGTTATGGATTGCGATCTATGTGCTCCCACACTTCTGCACATCCTACATGATGCCTCCCACAACTGCTGTATTTCCCCACTGAAGAGACGGGGCACGCAATTTTCCGCCAATTACACTCAAACTCACATGAGGCCACAAGAGGTCTGCGCACTTCGTCAGAAAAGCACAAAAACGGGCACTAGCACTCACTACTCGCCTCGTAGTACGATGCATTGTTTGTTCATCATGCTTGATGTAATAGAAATGCATGCCAATTTGAAAATTTTGGACGATTCTGGTTGGCAGCGTGGGGTAGCGCCGGTCTCAGTTGAAGCCCTTTCCTTCTCTGCGGTCTCCATTGAAGCCCTTCTCTTTCTGCCAACGGGCTCACAATAATGGGAAGGGTCGTCTCAAGAGAGAACTCCCGCAAATAATATGTCACGTCCGAGAACGTATTGTCTACGGGATTCCAAATGAGTGCTCTCGCGCATAAATGTAGAAGACGAGCTGATAGAGACAGAAAATACAACAATACCGTCAGCGTCTATCAGGATAAACATGTCATCCATACAGAGTGCAGAGCGATTGAAAGATAAGAAACAACCTACGGCCAATTTGCCATATGCGGCCCTGTCATCAACAACGCCAACACTAGGAAGGAAATCGTACTGACCATGGTTGGCACTCTTGTATTTCGTCAGGTAAAAGTTCCCCAAGAGGGAGATCAGGGTGTATGCGCTGGCAGTGACCGCGTTGATCTGTCTACGTCGTGTTATTTGCCAAGTGTGCATGTCAGCATGCCATTCTGTCTCAGTATTCAGGCTGAAAATTACGTGGTTGCTCAAACCTGTTGGACTACGTACAGACCAGAACAGTTCCGAATAGTGATTGTTCACGTGCGTCGAAGAAAAAACCCTTCTTATCAATATAAAGCGGTTGAAGAGTTCCTCCGTTGGTAACATTTCGTTGTTCGATACTTTTCTCTCTAGCCGACGGGCGCAGGGTATGTAAGAAGTAGGGCGGGCGTGTTCGAGTCTCGCCCTCGCTCTGTTGTCGAAGACGACCACGACAAACTCACAAATTCCACAAAACAAATATGAACATGATCTGCGTAAGACTGACTAGCTGCCATCTGTGACACTTTATAGCGAAAGTGGTACGTAATGTATCTTTTCGCCGAGCGGGAAGGAAACGACAAACCGCTCATCTGTTCGCTAATGATGATGCCATGATGACAATGCTACAAAGATCGCAGCATGCACTGCGGTGCTGCTGTGTGTGACGCTATAGCAGGCCGCTCGGCATAGCCCTCATTTTCGCTGTCTGTTTGGTCTACAATAAAATAGATAAGACCCCATTATACATTGGAAATGAAGAGATTCTGATGTTGTTCTGAAAAGACCGACAGTAGAGTTGGTTGTTTGTGTTTGTCTCCTAGCCTCCTCTGTTCTCCCTCTGTCCTGCGCATGCGCCCGGATTGTTCTTTAAGAGACATGGACGCCTGTGTATTTTTAGTCGGTAGGGGACCCGCTTTTCTCTGAAGCTTCTTGTAAACTTCTGAAAAACATAGCCCGGGGCACCTACACGCCTGGTTGTTCTGTCTTGTGCCGGGTCAAATACTCCTATAGGAAACTCTTGCGATCGAAATTTAAGAAATATAGTAACGCATCGGTTAAAACTACAATAAAGTATCTAAGCACTAGGACACACTCCATACACACTATTTGGGCAACTTCAAACTTTTACAACTTGTCATTCCTGTCCTCGATTTGCTCTTCCTTGTGTTCCTAAAGAGGGAGATGCACATCTACAGCAGCGCAGTAGTGGCTGTGGTCCACAGCACAGTCCGGAAAATTAAAAAAAAACAAATCCTGTGGTCCACAGCAGTCTGGAAGGACACCGAAAACTCCGAAGTTCACGACCTGCAGTGGTTAAAGACGAGAGGGCAACAGACACCACATGCAGGTACCCACTTGAGAACGTGCGAACAGGATAGATGGTAACCCTAAGTAAGCCTACAAATAGCAGGCTGAGCATACACACGATGTACGTAAATGGCATATTTGACTCCTTACGCGCCAAAAGTGTACCCCGTGCAGGAGACGAGATTGATGATGGTCTCTATCTGGGAGGAATGTGTTGATGATAATGGTTGAAATAGACCGAAATGGAATTTTGAGGTGAAGCTCAATGGGTATGTGATAGTATCGATCTGCAGAGGATAGCCGGAGGCGTCTTTATGTTGTCAGGCAAGGCGATGTCTAACAGCTATTTACTATTTATGCATGTCTTTTCCTGTGTGGCAAATATGCACGTAAATAGTACGATTCGTATGTTCGAGGAATTTATCCTTTTTGTCCACAAGAGAGAGAATACATCTATCTGCGCAACGACATACTCCATGGTTGGATTCGTCATGTAGGCTTTTCATTCGCACACCATTTCAATGTGAACACAGCAACAATACACAGAAGAAATATATGCATGCATGCATGCGATATTTATATCACGTTTACTGCACGCGCTTGCTGTTGTGTACACATTCGACCCAGACGACGAATCTTACGGCAACCACGTGCGTGCGTGCACAGCAGCATCCACGAGGAGAGAGAACATGCAGCAATCATTTATTGGACCTTGGTGATCTTGAACTATGAACCATTATCTGAAACTTAGGTGGTCTCTGAGGAAAGTCACCAGCCGCAGCAGAGCGTCATCTTCGTTGGTTGAAAACGGTATAAGTTCTTTAGTGTACAAGTGACGGCTGTTGCCATCATGCCTTGGCATTCGGCGTACGACACAAAAACACGAATGTCTGAAAACGTGGGGGCCTTTAGCTTTGTTTTTTCCACAAACATATTACCCCTCAGAGCAGTAGTTCCCAACAATGTCGGTTTCAAAAGTCGAAGACGAATCTCTCTTGATTGACTGCAAACTTGTCGAGCGTTCAGTGCAAAGTTTTTGCCCATTTATTTCTTCGTTCGTGTTCTTGAATTTTGAGCCTGCCGTACTGTACAGATCATAGGGATTTCCTAGTTTTACACGAACGAGGGCTTACAACCTCCCCGGCTTTTTCACGTTCGTTTGGTTGCTGCAAGTAGGCGTCCTCTCCGCGGCTAGTGGGTATCATCCAAACAACCAGTAGATGATGTTGAACGTAAAATTTCCAGGGGATTTCCTTTTCTCCAGAGTCAACTCTCTCTGTGGGTTTTTATTTGCCTGGGAATTTTCACGTGTGTTCATTTGTTTGCTTCTCAAAGTAGGCTTCCTTTTCGCAGGGAAATGTGTCTCAATGCTGCTGCTTTGATTCTCTACTTTCCCGGCTATTTACGCCACTTGGTGTCAATTCCCTCGTGCCTCCTATGGACTGTGTCCTGCATCTTCTGTCGGGTTATATCATCACTGGAGGAATTAATTCACAACCAATTGCTCCTCCTATCACCATCCCAACGCCTTATTTACCACAAAATAATTGATTATGTCTGCCAACGCCGACGCCACCGCATCGGTCTGGCTATCACCCCTTGTCATGCGGCATACGACCGAAAATACTTCCGTCTGGGCAAATTGGCCCGCAATACTTCCGTCTGAGGCCGCGAGGGGCCGATAGGCCCCCGCAGCCGGAGTACTTGTAGACTCAACTACAATTATGTTGGATACCTGAAACGCAGGACTTCAACCAGTGTTGCATTCTGAAATCAAGACCATATTTTTCCGTGCATTAGTCTGCAGTCGCCGTTACACCAATATTTGACGGTCTTCGTCTACTGGAGCGGACCAGTCTCCCGATCACAACGCCCGGGAGCTCGAAATTCCAAATGTAGAGTTACAGCGCTATGAATGCACGCATGTTTTCAGTCATTGAGCGACAGACGACAGAATCCGATGATGGGAGAAAATATATATCATCCGGTTGGGCAAGACTTTTTTGGTAGAACGTCAATCAACCATGACCGACCATGCAACAGTAGTGCGGACCCACACTCAAACCGAAATTCCCGATGATCCGCCTCCGATCATCTGCAACTTGCAAAAATATGTTCAACACAGAAGAGAATGGTACGGACGGACCTGATCGAAACATGACGTTACAGCAGCAGTAGTGCGAACCACAAAGATCAATAATATTTCATCCCACATTTCACTTCATTTGTGTCGCTGAAACATGTTGCTACATAACCATCACGGCAGCAGGATCTGTCATTGTGTTTAGTGCAGACCCAAACTCTGTTTGCAACAACGCATTACCAAACTCAAAAACGAAATTCCCGAAAAAATTCCGCCTCCGATAATCTGCTATTCCCGAAACTTTTTTCAACACAGAGTGGTGCGAACCTGATCGAAACACGACGTTATGGCAGCAGAAGAAGTGCGGATCCACAATAAAATGAATTTCGTATCACTTTCAGCTGAGACACCAGCAAGGTCATGGCGGGAACCTACCTGAATCTTTATTTCCAACACACAGAGAAAGAACGTTTGAATCTTTACAAGTCGCAGCAAGGATCGCCTTCTCGGCACCACAACCAACCCCACACACCCTGCCTAGAGCCAGTTTCGTGCCTTGGTATGCTCTGCACAATCTTCACCCACCACCCTTCCTTTCTATTTATTGTTTAAGTTAACCAAATCCCTCACGGCGAGGGTACCTGTGGCGCCCGAGCCTGGAGCCCTTGTAAGACACACAACGACGGACGTTCTCAAAAACCAACACAAGCTTGTGCATCAAACTTGACGAAGGGGCGGACGGGATCAGGAGGGATAACTCTTCCAACCAACGCACACGACAATCTGTCGATGGAATCTCGAGAATTATCACCCGAAGTAAAAAAACTTGCTTTTAGAGAAGAGACCAGAGATTGCCTACTCTAAAACTAAGTGAAATGAAACAGAGAACGGGGTTATTTTTTTGGAGTCACCTTTTAGGATTCATTTTAAGCAGTCACTTATTGTGGGGTCAAAATCGAACAAGGTTGTAAAAATTCCGCGACAGAAAACTGAATCCTTAGGACTTAAAAGTTCAAATTTGAACTGGTTGTAATTCCAAACTGGAAATGGTGAAATTGCTGTAGTATCCGAAGCATACTCTGTGCACACTCCACTCTAGCTGCCCAATTTTGGCTCCGAGAAGCCCAAAGCACGTGGAGTGTACGTGCAGCCTTCGACGGCTTGATAGCAAGCAGGCGTGTGTGAGGCGAGGACGAAGTAATAAGTGCCTTGGTGCGCTCTGTTTGCTACATCAAGTACGCAAAACTCCTGCTTTTGGGGGGTGATTTGAGCATTTTCTGTCCATCGCCCGGATTCCAAATCTGACAGTTATCCATAACAACTGGCCTTACCCTATAATTTGCATGTGAAGTGCCAGAGGGCCTCCAATGCCTCGATAGGTGCCGGCACCACGGGCCTCCCGGTACGTACCGGCACCACGGCCCTCCTGCTAAAATAAATTACTTTTTTATCGTGCGGCCGGTGCCCAGAATATACCGGTGAATCCGCAGGGCGCGTTCCGGCACTTGAGGGACCATGACTGTCCTAATAAAGAAATTGAGGGTAATGTGGACGCAAGATAGGAGCGACTTGCGGAAGAGCAAGAGTGGATCACTCGTTCCGATCCAGGCTGACGACAAGCACGCCGAGAACACACGACGGGGGCTTTTTGATGTATCAACCCATGTGCCGCTTCATTCGTCTAGATTGGGATTCGACTCCTCGACAACACGTACGCAGCCTTACATTAGCTGGGCATGGAGTAGAGCCTACGTGTCTTCAACCACATCAGTGTGTAGGATAGCACAGCAAGCTGCCTCTTCAATCAGTATCGGGCAAATTCGTATCATCTTTTCGAAGACACCGCGGAGGGATGACTGATTGCAATGATTCCGTGTGGACTCCTGGAAGACCGATCAAGCGATGGTGTAGAGCTCCATGAGTCCGTCCACACCAGGTTCCCAACCAGCACGATGGTGTATGTTTCATTCCGACTCCACCCCGAACAAAATTCGTGAAGCGCTGTTCTTGCCTGCCTCGTTGAAGAGAAAATACTGTAGAAAGGTGGGCATGGGAGCGCGGTAACGGCGAAAAAATCAGATTGGTTCGAGCATCCCTATGGATGTACTCACCGGACAAAACGGTTTGTTTGTTCGTTGATACAGGTGGGGGTAAAATTGTTTGTGCAGTCACTATTATTTTCTTTCCAACGGTTGTTGTACATCGGATTCGTGATACAGAGTAACGCCAACGGGATGCCACATCCAATTTTGAAACAATGGTCAGATAGACCACTCACTCTACACGCAGACGAAGAAGAGCATATTGACCTCGCTTGCGGCATTTTCCGACTTAGTCCCTCCCCCTTGCCGGCTGCAATACGTCTATAGCCCTCTACAGGTGGCCAAGACCACCAGCGCAAGAGTCTGGGCAAGGAATAACCAAAATTGTGTCCTCTCTGCATCTAGGAGAGTTCTCCAACGGGAGGTTGCCTCAAGCGAGGCGAGCATCCTACTCCGTCTGCGTGTAGCAGGTTCTCTTCTTGAGAACAATAAACAAAACGTAGTGCTGTTTACTCGGCTGGATCACACGAACAATTGAATCCCATTCAACACAATCCATCACACTATCGTACAATAGAGAGACATTTCGTTCCGACCGACATGCAGAAAATACCAGTCATTTCTTCGAAGTCAGACCTGACACATAGTAACTAGTAGGCCAGAGTGGGTAAGTGGTAGGCCAGAGTGGTTTCCCGCCTCGCAGGTTTAAAGAATGGCATGACTGGGGAAATGATGGAGACAGAGACAACTGCATGATAAAAAACACTGATCAAGGGGGGAAAGCCACTTCACTGGCCCCAGACTCTGCTTGAATGCAGGGCGTATCTGCATGAGCTGTAAAACCCAAGACTGTTAGCCGAACGCGTTAGAGCAAACAGGGCACAAGTAGGCTGCCGAAACAGATCGTCCCTGGCAGGGCCGATGGGTAGCGGACAAAAAAAGGCGGAGAGGATATCACAGCATTCATTTTTCGAGTTAACATATGGGTCATACGACATCAAAACTGCGTAGCGGAACGCCGCCTGAGAATGAAACACAGAAACCGGTTGAAGACTTCCTTGCGTCACCCATCACTTGACATCGCGAATTGGTGCAAGAGCACCACGGACGCAGCAAGCGAATCTAATGACGAAAATAGTCCCGAATCACTGAATATGGGATCAAGGACTTTCGACAGTTTGTCAAAAGCCGGCAGTGCAGCACTACCCATCAACCTAATACCTGGTATTCTTTGGGAGAGAAGACGTCTTCTTCGACCATAGTGAAGTTGGATCGATCGTCCATCCTCTTCTTCACCGCACCAGAGGAGCTCGGCTGTTTTTCGCGAGACCTTGAAGGGGCGGATCTCACCGCACCATCCTAAAGCACAGCCAAGTATAAGGAAACAGGGAAGTCAGCAAACAGCCTGAAAAGGCTTTTTGCTAGCTTCGTATGCACATCAACCTCTTCGTTTTATCTACAGCTCTTCCAATCTTTCGCGGCAAAACGAATGTCGGCGAGTCGGTTTCCGCCTTGCCTACTCGTACACGGGACGAAGGGTGATTATTTCTCCATGTAGCATTAAAACAAGATGACCTTTCAGATTCTTGTTCTCGCCGATATCTCCAGTCGTACAATACTACGGTCGAATCCGAAAATGTTCAAACAGCAGATTCAGAGATATAAATTGCCCCACATAACAGAAACGAAGGATTTTTTATGTTAGTTATTGAAGATAGTATCATAACACCAATAAGGAACCGTCACGAGTTGCGCGTCGAAGAGGGCGCTCACTGATGGTACCTTGGACTTCCTGGAAAAGAAAAAAAAACAGAACATAACTTGTAGCAACCTTGTCACAACACCACCGCTCACCTTGGAAAAATACGAGCAATACAGGTCCATGCTCTCGTCTGTTGCGAACGTGCTGGTTCTGCTTTGCAAGGCCTCCAAACCCAGCACCTCCTCGAGATGGGCTTGCTCTTGCTCTTCCTGTAAGCGCAAAGAATCACACCCCATTGGCCGAACACCAAAGCGTCAATAATGGCAAGGTGAAAACGCCAAGCTGTCATTCGGGTTTCGGAGTTGCATCCTGATCGAGAAATTATCAGCCCTGTTGCGTCGGGGAACAATTGGGTAGCTCGACATCCAGTGCCATACAGCAACAATCCAAGAGTTGTTCGAAGAAATGCATAGCATTCCTCGCCGACACTCATCTTCTCCTAGGGCGTGTCTTAACTGCACTTTTCTCGACAGGGAACAGGGAACAGGGAACAGGAAACTCGGAGTTCCCTGTTCCCTTTCCCATGTCATTTGTGTCCTAAGATACAACAGCACTTCCAGGAACACGGAACATTTCAGCGCGCGCGTGCAGTCTGCCGCAGGTACTCAAAGGAACCTCAGGAAACAAACACAATCATTGGATGCAGAAAGACGAGTGGCGGGTAGAGGAAGGGGGAGTGGTGTAGGTTTTGAAGGAAGCTGTTGAAGAGCGCACACCAAACACATGTGCTAGGTATCGGCTAGAATAGGCGGTGCTCGTCATGCCACCCGCACCCTCGGCAGTGCTTTGGCAGGCTTGATTATTGAGTTGCGGTTCACGGCAGCTTACCGTTTCTTTGACATGTTATGTTTCCCCATACAACGGCTACACGAGCTACGCGAGCATTCAGCTTCACCCCGCCGAACGGGCCGCTTAGCATCCGCCGCAGTTTTTTTGTATGCAAGACACCTGATGATGGTGGCAATGCCTATTCGGCTTGAACCGGTAGCATGCAGTACCTGTGGTAGCCACATGCCCGAGAGTGATCACACACATCCCACCAGGTCCTGAATTGCCACTGAAGAGCCCGTGTTCCACGGTTCCTATGGTCTGTTGGCCAATTTTAATGAACTCGCACATTATGAACTTGTGCATGAAAATTACGGTGCGACGTAAGTACCTAAAACAGGGAGTGTGTGTGGTGTATCTTGTTTCCAGGAAAGTTTTTTTGTGTGGCTGGCTGGCCAATCAGACAATAGTTCCGAGTTCCCTGTTCCCTGTCCAGATAAGTGCAGTCAAGACACGCCCTAAGCATTGAAAACCGGAGGGAACAGGATGTGCCCAAGCGTAGTGATGTTCACTCGATTGTGGCAAGAGTAGCGGCCGTGTTCATGTCGAAGATTGACAAATCTCTCCGCTTACGTATCTCAATCTACGCATGGAACACATAAATAACGTCAACCGTAACCTCGTTTGCGTGATTAGTTGGATTGCCGTGGTTGAATTTCATAAAGCATGGATCTCGTGCCTCAACCTGAACAACGAAAATGATACCAGAAAATTTCTGTTTGATTGAATGGTCGTGACCCGCATGGATGTCGACTGCTATGACCCTCCGCTCCTTGTCGAATGTGCCGTAACAACAAGCTGAAAACAAACTAACCGCCACGGGCAGGTACACAACGTGCAGAGCCGTTTCTCACAACAGAAGCTGAACTGTGAGTCTCTTTTGGATGCTACCCACACGAGAAAGCAACTATCCTCACATGTTCGAGGCGCCGGCGGATTTGGTTGACGACACCGTCCACGTTGATGCCCGCGTGTTGAAGGTGCGCATGAGTTAATTCCCAACCCTCCTCCAAGTCAAGATTACGTTGAGCTGCCCACCCAAGCTGTTGCACTTGCCGCACAACTGCTGCCGCTACTCGTCGTGCAGAGATGTCCTAGTTGGGCAGGTAAGGCGTTCGTCGGTGGAAATACGCTTTGTAACTCGACATGGGCGAGAACGTTTCTTCGTGCGTGATTGGAGCAATGCAGTGCACCCATATTCTGAGACGCTATCAACGTTCACGTGCATCACAGCACCCTTTGCTCCCTCCCCCTTCACTGCCTCGCAAGGTGATTGATTCACCGTACAAGACACAATTTCGCTCGGTACATGAAAACAGCGGCTATGCCATCACAAAGCGATTCCACGGAATTACGATTCTCGTTTTAGCAACAGCGCGAGACACGCAGGACTGCAAAGGTATGACTTCATTCGCATAGCCTATAGGATTATAAAGGTATGACGAACGGGTACAACACAACATGTTTTCCAACCAATCCAAATACTGGCGGTGCTGGTGGCAAGTTTCAAAGAGGGCACCGTCAACCTAATGCCTAGGTCGAGCAGAACAAACACCATTCTCTACGCCCGGCAGACCAATTTTGCCAATGCTCTTGTTGGAATAAATGTTTCAAGCGAGAAACGAAACGAAACATACAGCAGGTGACGTCGAAAGACGTCTATACATCATTGCAGCACGGGCGTTTAAAGTTCCACATACGAGCGTGTCGATGCCCTACCTTGCGTAGCCCTTCGTACGGCTCGACCGTGAGCGTTGCTCCACAGTGGTGCTCCTCCGCCAACTTCTGCAACGCCAGGGCACCCGCGGCGGTATCTGTGGCTAGCGTGAAATCTGCCAAATAAGAAGCTAACTCCGTCTGCGCACCGGACAAGGATCGTGGGGATTTCTCACGTTACTTTTAATACCGCGCAACTTCGCTTTGCGTGCGAGTGGCCGAAGCAGTACCCACGCAAAAAGTCCACGCAAAAATATATACGCTGTTATATGTATTCGAACGGAAGCGAAGAATATAGCAACCGAAAAGGCTCCATGAAACATGCTTCAATCTATATGCAATCGGGAGAAAACAAGCGTGAACCCAGCACGAGTATTCTCGATTTTACGAGAGACAAGACTTCATCCGTGAAGGCCCACGGGTATCGTGAGGACCAGTCCACTAGAAGGTGGCCCGGCGCATCAATAGTATCGTAACAAATGGTATCCTGATGAGCACATACCTCGTTCTCAGGATCCACGAGAAGACTCATGTCGTTCGAAAAGGCCGCATACGATGCCAACTCTGTGTCGGCATCCTCTTCCGCAAGCGGCGACCCAATGTAAGCCTGCAATAGCAGAGACGCTTCGTTAGTTGGAGCGAAGTCAACTTCCGAACATAAACACGTCGACGTGTAGCGTAAAATGGAGGGGTGAGGCGTCACTAGGGAGCCGGGGTGGCGCTCTCTAATCTAAGTGCATCATATCTTCACAATATTACGGTAAGGTTGCGAGTAAGCGCACAGGGGTGCGATCGATCTTCACAGCGTAATTTCTCCACAACCAGGAAGGTGCGAGCGCCAACTGATACTTCTCAGGAAAGCCCTCGATGAGATATTTCCAAAACCGCCATTTTGGACAGTGGTACTGTAACCTCCTGGTTGTGGAGAAATTACGCTTCGAAAATCGTTCGCACCCCCGTGCTCTAGCTGACTCGCAACCTTACGGTACCACAGCAATGGGGGCCCAGCGCTGTTGTACCCAAAGAATTTCAATCGCATTGTGAAACTGCTCCAACCACATAAACGAATATATACTGCACGAATGACAGCGCTTTCCCACTCACCACGTCACGAACGCCCCACATTGGGCCTTCTCGCGTGTCTGGCTCGCGATCTGCGTGAACGGACTCCGTCGGCCTGCTTGAGGTAAGCACGCCGCGCTGTGGTCGACCGAGCATACTTCGTGCCTTGACAGATATGTCTCGTACGTACCGCCCGATGGTGACGCTCTGATCTCCACGCCGTGGTTCCTTCTGCGTTTCAAGAGCAATCACCATCGCCACCACGCGATCGCGGACAAAACATCAGGACGAGCAACAAGAGGTGCTTTATCACCGGTGGGCCAGTCAAAAGGGCAGAGCATGGATATTGTTGTGCCGCTGTTAGTAGTGGCGAAAAATCATCTTGGGGAAACCAAGGGAATCCTCCTACATAATACTTCTCTGGACGGCTGTGTACTGCCAACAACCACACATCACTCACATCACTCACAGAACGGTCGGGCATGTGGTACAAAAGAAACGTGTGCACACCTAGCTTTCTGCATTGAGGCCACCCTCGGTCTGCGACTACATGAACAGACTGGTTCAAGATTGTTTGGGTTTTGCAAAGCAGGCAACCTGTTGTGTACGCCTGCAAATACAGCACAACGTCCAGGACGTCAACACAAATCAGATTTGATCAGCGGCCGAAGCATTGTCTTCCACGCTCAACCAGTAAAAGAGCGAAAGCGTGATGCACAGTAGTCCATCCTTCCACCTCACCGCGGGTTTCTGGAAAACGGAGCGGCTTGGAATCTTCTCCTCCACGGCCGATAAGGTACCTGTTAGCGACAGCAATTTCAGCAAGAAGGGGGGGGGTGAGAAGGGTATCAACGACCGCGCGGTGCTTCAGCTGGATGGATAATAATCAGAAACGGGGACTCGTTCGAAAAAACAAACCGTGAAATTCATGGGCACCTGCTGATGGACGCCCGCCTCCTCCACTGGCTTTCCTTCCAGGGTTCGCTGGAACCGGAACCGCAAACTCGTGAGAGAACCATTTCTCGAACATCGTGAGGCGCTCCGGCTGCATGAATGAATGGATACGTCGATTGATTCGGGGTAAGGGGAGCGAGGGTGATTCGTAGGCACATGGGCAAAAAGGGGAGATGGATATGGGAGAGGCCGGTATCCAGCAGTCATCACCTCGTGTATTCGAATGAAGCGTTCTGGGAGTTGTCCTTGCTTTGGTGGGCCGAGGTGCATCCACATCCGTTGCTGAGCGTACCGCTGCAATGCATCTCGCCACCACTGGCTTGTGGCAGCCCGTTGTCGAGCGCACATCCGGCGCACGCGGCGGCGCTTCAGCTGCATCTCTGCTATGCGGTCTTCATCTATCATCCCACTCAAGGTTGTCGCTGCTGAAAGGGCGTTCGCCCCACTCTCGTTGCTGTCACCGGTGGGTTCCTAATACAGTACGTAGAAGACAACCGTCGGTAGAGGTGAAATAAGCTCAAAAACATGGCAAGAGATAGCAAAAAATGTAGACAACCGTGAAATCATCTCGACGTTGCACCCGCGTGGACATCGAAAGCGGCATCCACCATTTCGACCACCACACGCGGGCGGGTTTACCTCGTCCTGGTCCAAGAAGTACTGGTCTTTCTTGTACTCTCTCATGCTCTGGAGACCAGCGTTCTCAGCGTGAAAGTTGTGCAAATAGTAGTCTGTGTCGAGCTCCCACAACGGCTTGCCGGTGCTGGTTGGGACGTAGTATCCCAGGAAGAGGTTGATGGCGTCTTGCTTGGCACGATCTGTGAAGGCGTTGCTGTAGTATCGACGGATCGACGTAAGCAACTCGCGATGTTTGTTCATAGACCCCACCTATAGTTGGGGGGAGAGGGAGAATCTCACATGAAGGTTCAAACATGTGACTGTTGTTATTCTGCCATCAGTGAACAAAGCAACTTTTCAGGTCGGTCACAAGAGATTTCAACACGTTGTCACTGTCAGAACGACCAGCAATTGGGTTCGGCGAAACGGGTTATATATTCAGCCCGTGCAATGCGGTAGAGACGACACAAAAGAACTTGTTCACCTGCTTGCCTGGTCCGTTGCCCCTCGACACTTTTTTGTGTGCTTCGGAACCTCCGTATTGAAGAGCAATGTTGTCTCCGAGCTCGCTGTAGAGCTCCATGAACACCAACGCGACCTGTACGAGCACGCACCCATACGTGCCTGAGTTTTCACAAGCATAGGTTCAACGGACAAGTTATCGCATCTCAAGTATCTTGGCACGTGGACTTGTCGGTCCTGAGTACACTACGGGGTATGAGACCGCAAGAACGAGAAAAATACATGTTACCTGTGATCCAGACTCCAAGGACACTTGGTTGCTGACGCCCATGACGTAAAGCTGTTTGGCGAGTGCGTGTACGCCAATGCTAAACTGACCAACATTTGTCCTGTCCAAGCAATCGATGCAGTTCGTGCGGAGGACGCCTTGCTGCTCCATCGGCATCACAGGGAGTCCATGGCCCCAAGGTGGTGGTAATAGACCAGAAGGATCTCCAGAGGGTCGTTTCGGTTCGCCACTTTTAGCGTGCAGCATTGCCGCCCCTTGCCCGTTGACTTCGTTGAGATTTTGTTGCGCTTCCGGTGCGTTGCGGGTTCTTGCCAAACCGCCTTGGGAATAGCTTTGGGCTCGCCTGAGTGATGGCAGCTCGCCTCCCCCGGTGGTGCCCTCGTCTTTCGGCAGCAGTTCTCGGCGAGGAGCGCTTTGGGACCAAGAAGATACAGAAAAATGGGGGGAAAGCACGGAAGTAGAGGCGAGGAGGCGGGTTCTTGCTTCCGACTCATCACTCGCAGAGCCCGGTATCCAATGAACAGCGAAATACTACAAGTGATAACTGAAGCCGCAAAAAAACTCCCCCCTCGATCAAGTGCCCCCTGCGGTGTTTGCCGTCGGGGTTGGGTTTTCGTCGCTTGGCAACGACGTTGTAAAACAAGCCAATTCACTTCGTGAACTCGGCAAACAGGTTACCGGTTTTTTTTTTACCCTTTTTTTTTTGGCGGTAACCATAATGGTGGTCGAGTAGATCATGTTGTGCGGGGTCGAGAACCCTCACTCCGCGCAAGGGGGATGATCGCACCACGTTGTGTTAAAATGGTCAAGCACCCTCGAGGCAGTTACACAGTGCTTACAACTGTCTCAGGAAGTGAAAGCACCAGAAAATAAATTCAAGTCATACGCAGCTGTCATCCGTATGCAAGGAACTAAGCACACGATGCCGAACACCCTTAGCAGGATGCAGCGCACCCTTCATGCGACTCGCCGAATATCTCACGGCGCTTCGCGCTTGGTGATGTGAGAGCCTGGTCCGGTGAGAACCCGGCGTGCTCCGTCCCGGCTTTGTAGGGATGCGAGGTCAATGGTCTAACGACTACGGCATGCCCGACTATGAGTACCCCCCCCCCCCCCCTCGATCAAGTATCAACAATAGATAACAACGAGAGACAAACCAACAATACCGCGATCTCGCTTGCCTGCAAAAAAATCCGACTTGCCCCACAGTCCAAGCTGCAACTTCTTCCAGCGCCTTCAGAACGTTCATGTCGCGGTGTTTGCTCAAGTGAGAAAAATCCAAGGCGCAGTACCTGATCTTGTGCTCCTGCAATAAAATGGTCGAGGAACAATAGCATTTCTCGTCAGATCATCATGTCAGCAAAGTCATGTCAAGACTTGTTCACGCAGTCAAAAGACCCTCAAACGACGGCACCGTTGACGAGGACAGAGGTTTCAAAGTGCCTAATGATCTTCTGAACACCCAACACCTGCAGTAGCCCTACTTGAAAGCATGCCTGATGACGAAACAACGGCTTTCTCCTCGAGAAAAAAAAAAACGTCAACGCCCATGCTGCACAACAAAACGTGTACTAAGATTCAAACTTTCGAACCGGTGATGACGCATGTCCAACATGCACGAAGTGCTTAGAAAAAGCTAAGCTTGTCTGTCTCACATTGGACAAACCCCACATGAATTTCACATGTATGGTTAGAAATGTGCGAACATGCTTCCCACTGTGCCCCGTCAGCGCCACGTAGCACATACCATAGTATGCACGAAGTATTCGTGACAAAGAGTTGCCCAGAAGATAATGACTTATACAGGGAACATGCACCAATTTGAAACGCCATTACGTTGAAAACCAGAACCAAAATTGGTTACCAAACAACAGCCGTAGAATTAGCGTGCACATCACTGCTTCGGTCCCCCCCCCTTTACTACATGATGCCGTTCAATCGCGGGGTCCACGACAACAGATCGATCCTCTTCACTGTTTACCACATCACCTATACATAGCCTGTCTTGCATCCGGTTACGTCGAGTCTCTCCGCCACAACAAATGTCGTGCCCTGAGCACGCCATTGTCTAAGAGTGGCCAACATGTGGGTGGGGTGCTTGTCGTACATCGTCAGGGTGACTCCGTGCCGAAAATACGAAAATACCAAGTTGCTTTCAAGAGCTGTTTCTTCCAAAGAAGTAAAGCTGTTCTTAACATGCCCTGCGTGCGAAGGAAGCTCTATAGAAACAAGGACCATGCCAAATTGGGTCCCAGCACACTCGACCGACCGAAAAATTACCGTACCTCGTTCTCGAACCACAGCAACATCAACATCGACACTGGCGGAACGACGAACAATTATAACATGGCGCAAGCAAGGCTGCTCTCACCGACGGCATGGTGGAGTTGACATGTTCAACTGCCCGGCGATATTCCCTGCCCACGATGACCTCCCGTTCTCTCCTCTCCGTCTGCTTGACTAGGTCAAGGACCAGGACAGGCGAGCCATATCTCTCTAAAAGATCCGCGAAGTGATCCTAAGAACCGATGGACGCAAAAATAATGACATAAAATACAGCGTTAGCCCATTCACAACAACGGTCACCAGATACTTTGAAGACTGACATCGCTCTTCCATAGGAGCGCAATATTTTTGGCAGGTATTATATCCTTAATGCCCTGAAATGTTGACAGCATGTGATGCAATTCTAGGAAGCCCACGGCATAGCTTCCAGGATGCGCGGGGCAGGATTCATGAAGGCAGCCGTCTCACCTGACAGGCTCGTAGACATTTACGAATGCATATGATCGTATTTTCAATACTCTTGACGCCTAACTAGTGTCGTGTTTGATTCGTGCTCAGGAATCCAACAGCGAGTACATGACGTTAAATGTAACATGCAATTCTAAAAAGGAAAAAGTATAGCGGTCTCTCGCCTGTCTAGCATACTCACACAGAAGTTCAGGTTCTAGTCTCGCGACGCACTAAAAAAAAACAACCAAGTACAGCACGAGAGTGCCTGCGCTTTAATCCATACGTCATTGAGCCCGTGGGACACAACGCCCTCATACTAAACCTTGATCAACATGAAACACAGAGTAATCAAGTACCCAGGTGACCGGTGGACATGAGGCCACCAGTAACCCCTCCAGTTCGTACACTTCTTCGCCTCCTTCACCACATATGGCCACAACCCACGCATTGTGAAGCAAGCCTACAGTACAGAGGGTCAAGCAACTCTCTAAGCATCGTGTTTGTCTGTATACTTGCAAGTTGGGATAAACGAAAATGCGCCACCAAAACTATGGAAGTGGTGCCTTGAAGTTGTACATACGGAGCAGTGAACAATAACCAGTTATGAAAACAAGCTACCGTAGAATCTTTAGTGAAATACACCGTTGCCCTTGCCCTCTGTAAGTCTCGTCTCAATCGGGCGCTCAATCTTTGATAAGTTTTACGGTAGAGGAACGTGCCGTTTGGTAGGCCGAAAAAAAAAGATAATGGCAAAGGAGATACAAATGTGTCTAATCATGACATGTGGCTCGTCTTGTGCAGAAGCAAACCTGCAACAAAGCGCAAGTCAATAATCCCACTGAGCGTAAGAGCGTAACAAAATGAAGTGGGAACGTGTAAATATACCGCAAAACGTTTGAGCGGCCTGTTTCATTTGGGAAACATGCTCGTGTGCGTGGTGCTGTCTGTGCACACGGTCGAGAAAAGGGAAAACGTATCGTGCACGCAAGTGAACCTAACTCAGAGGCCACGCCATGACCTACTCTCCCTGCTTTCGAATCACGGCGAACAAGCACGGGAATACGGCACCTGTCTCGTAAGGGGTGCGCTCAACAAATGTACATTCTTTACGGCTTCCTAGGACAAAAAACCAACACGAAATCATGTATCATCACACCGGAAACACTGTTTGCAGAGGCTTACGTGAGCACAGCGTCCTCATCCACAGCTCACCTGAGTGGCAGAGTACATGGGGTCAACACGACTGTTGACGATGGGGGGCTTGGGGATTGAAATGCTGCTTTCTTGTGTCCAGAACGTCGGAATGGATCCTCGCATTTGCAAGAACGAAGAGAACACGCCCTCCTTGATCCCTTCCGCATGTGCGATCTGGAGCCCGGAATATCAAACGTTCGTATACAAATCCAAACAGGAAAGGGGGGGGGGGAGGCGGAGATTGACATGGGAGTCCATCCAGCACGAAGTGGAATCATTCATGCCACGTGTGATGCACACTTAATCTACCATTGAAATGAAACGGTGAACTCACGGTACGACCACGTGTGTTTGGTTGCCTGCCATTGCCCATCACAATACAAGCTTCGGCTACAAGTACGGTCGGTGTTTTTTCATTTCTCTCACGAAGGCTAATCAACAATGGTGTAGTTTGATTCTCGATACGACCATGTGTGTTTTGTCTTGTCTCGTCCACGTCAGTGCCTCACCAATGGACCCAACCCTGCAAAACACTCGTGCTTTCAGACAATCACATGGAACATTCTCCAGCATGACTCAACGGGGTCATCGAAAACCTGTCCTACGAGCTCCACAAGAGGTAGCTGTTTCGTCTACCTGTCCGCCTTCGAGAAATTTGCTGGTGAATCCTCGCCTTGACGCGGCCTCACCTGTTCGACCTCTACGTCATTCGCCACTTTGCCCGTGTCACTCACGCCACGCTTCAAATACCTGGGGGAAAGTACAGAGGCACCAAGAGTATTGGATGGATTATGATGTGGTGATGTGGTGATGCACACGGAATATGTCTGCTTATTTGTCTACATCAGGAAAAGCCATAAACAACACAAAGAAAGAGGTCAACAGGCAAACGGTTGCGTTCATGGCTGTTCACGACACTTGGAATTGTACATACACAACATGGGTACCCCAAAAAAGAGAAGGTGGCAAAAACGGACGAAGCTTCGACTTAGTACTGGCCCACCCGACTTCTTTTTTTGTCCAGTCATTCCAGTCTCTACACTGTAAGACGGATAGAGTATTTCGCACACCTTGCGCAAAGCAGCGGCGGAATACACCACCAAAACGGGGGGTGCAACAACAGGGCTTTGGACAGCCCAACCTAAACCATACAGAGCTGAACTTGCGACTAGTTGGTACTCAATCAGAGAAATTATGTGCTGCCACTGCACATACCGTGTTCCTGCGAAATGCCTGGAGCGGCGAGCGATGACCGTTATGTTCAGCATGCGTCCAGACAGGTCGCACTTGCGCTGTAGATAAGCTCCGTGTACGATGGGAATCACCCAGAAGGACGAGTTCAGGTGTCCCACCTGCGCCTCGAGCTCTCGGGTCTGGTGAAAGTTCCAAGCGTACATGTCCTGGGGGTGGGTGTCGAAAGGGACATGGGTGTGCATTTCTAGGGGTTAGGCTCTTAAGGAGGGAAACCTGATGCCTAAACATCACCACACCGGGAGCCAGCCACGCGTATCCGACGAAATACATACGAAGAACAAAGGGAGCTCTACCATTTGGTTGCGTACCTTGAACGGCGGAGGGGGAAACGTTTTGCTCGTCGCCGCCGTCATGTTGTGCTGCAAGGAGTTGGTGAGGTCGTACGTGTAGGAGTAGAAGAAGTCCTTCGTCAAGTCGATGAACTGAAACAGGCCCAGATACTTTGCCTCCGCTGTTTCCCTGTTTCGGTGAGTGTTCCAGAATTTAAGGCGAAGGCGGCACAAGCGAACGCACCTACAAACCAAGAAACCAAGGCAAAATTACCCGGAAAAACGGAAGGAATGTCGTTCTACAACTCCTTCCTAAACATCCCAGTGGCACAGGATTCGCTCGCAACGTTCGAGCATTGCATAGTCAGATGTCGAGCTAAAAAAACACGTCATTGGTGGATCAGTACTAATCACTCTGATAGTCGCCGAGGGTGGAAATATCATACATCCTCGCAAAGAGCTTCTCTTCAATTAAAAGTCTGGTTGTATCCTGCAAAAAATGAGAGTTTACTGCATGGGCATTGCGTGCGTCTCATCGGCCTTTTACAAAACTCTTGGTCAGTAGGGGGTGCGCGGGTCTGCGCAGAGAAAACATGTTCGTTTTCCCACAACTGGGTTTGCTGTTAACAATGGGGGGCCTCAGTAATGCCAGTGTGCCCGTCGAAAACACCGCCACAATACTGGGTGACCGGGACTACACTCAGAATCGGGAGCGCAAGTTAGGGAGGGCTCTGGCTGCTCCTTGAGCTATACATGGTTATAGTTGACTGGGTCATGCGTAACCGATATACGGTGCTATTATGTTGCGAAAGTGAAATCAATCTGTGCTTGTGAAGGGTCGATCTTCCCTTCGTGGGGTGACCAAGTGTTGAACACCGATGTCTCCCACCTCTGGGTGGGGTGAAGCCGCCGGTTGACCTTCGCCAAGGTGCTGACGAACGCATTGGAGTCATTGCCGTGTGCTGCGGTAGAGCTGAGTGCCCCAGATGCAGTGTCGGCAGGTTTGATAGCAAACATTTCCGTGGCTTTGATGGCATATACCAAGTTTCCCCCGATCGCACCTACCTGCGCCAGGGAAGTTACAGTGCCGTTCCGACAGCAGGTGAGAAGCCAATACTGGCGTAAATGACACGTCAAACGCAGACGAAAGGTTTTGACACAAAACACTTTAGTCTCGCTGTAACCGTTAATATTTTCTTTGTTGCTTTCCTGCTCACCAGCCTGCGTTGCGTGATGAAGTTGAGGTAGTAGCAATCGAGGAACCTGACGAATCCTACGATGCCATAACCCTTGGCAGTCATGCTGAGCCCTCCAACGGTTCGGTTTCCCTCGTGGATCATATCCAACATCTCGATCATGTCGATTGGAGTGTACACGACCGGATCTTCCTGGCAAATGTCTGCCAGGGATGTTGGATTCACCACTCGACGGTCGAGCTTGAGCACTCTGTCGGCACCGAAGATCATGGCGGTGGTGCGGTTGAGACAGAAGTGCAAGGTTGTACAATATCAGCGGTACACGCAACGACAGTGCGGGCTCAGCCATAAGCGCGCCCACGTCTGTATATGAAAGCGAGGAGGAACTGGAGACATGCCAAGAGACACCATCCGCTGACTACACAAGCAGCCTTATGCATATGGGGCAAATACACGTGTCCAAGCGAATGCGCCACCCTCCTCAACGCTAGCAAGCGTCACATGTTGCCTGCAAGATTATTTAAGAATTCGTCTCCACATACAGTACCTCGAGGAACGAAGAAATAGATACGTTGGCCACACTGCTGTCGATCGTACGCATCGGTTGTCCCAGACAATTGATACTTGTACGTACAGAGACGAACACAACAGCAGACGAACAGCCTTTCTATAGCTCTCTAGGTTTGTGGGCGTTAGCACTCGCAAACATTTCCGTGTGTGTCCCGGATTCAACATCATGTAAAAGAAGAATACTTCACCTGTAGGTGGTTTCGGACCGGTCACTAGCAGTCAGGTACAGGTGACTCGATGTCTCGTACAAGACGAACCTGCGATGTTAAAAGAAATCATATCGCAGTACAGAGAGAGATAGAGACGAGACGAGACGAGACGAGAGACGAGAGTCGAGAGAGACGCGAGACGAGAGAGACGAGAGCGAAACACGAAACAGCGAAACAGCGAAACGAAGGTGAACATGTCAAAGTCCATGTGCCATGTGCAATTTCCGGAGCAAGGATGAGATGGCGTTTTGCGCCGCCGTACCACTGTTGTGCTGCTGTGAAGACTACCTCACCGTTCCAGCTTGCTGACAACAGGTTCCAGTGTGGCCTTTGCAGTGGATTGCTTGCGCGGTTCCCTCATCTTGATAAGTATGGATAAGGAGAGAAGTGTGAATGAGTGCACCAGAGGCAGGGCAAAGAGAACGGAGAGACAACGTGACGGGACTGTCGGGTAAAAGAGGCTCCGCGGTTGCATGAGCAAGACCGACCCCTCCCGGCGGACATGTACATGTTGCACTTGCAACTTGCCTCAGATCAGCCATATGAGGCATGTGCCAGTGTGCATGTTTGTGTGTTCGTCCCATCTAGTCTGACGCCAGTCTCCTCTACACACGTTTCGATAATTACAGTTTGTTTGACTATTTTAATCAACGGAGGTCGCAGTTTTTCGTTATATTTTTCCTTCCGCGGCACTTTATTTTTCTTTGATAATTCTCTTACGCATATGCATACAACACGAGCTTGTAGTGGCTCACACCTGGGGACCAAGGGGCAGCTATTTCTTCCAAATATTTCCAGGGTCGCTTCCGAGGTGTTGGGAGATTTCGTTTTTTTTTGCCTTGGAATCGCTTCGCCAAGCTCCTCAATTTGGAAACATCATTATTACAAAAAAATATCGGGGTGATGTTCCCCGATTCGCAAGTTATCTGTCGATTGACTTTTACCAGAATCGGTACAACTTCTTCGCAATGAAAAGTCGCCACCTTTTCGCACCCACCCCATTCTTTGGCGCAGCTCGTCAACCGTAAAGCCCAAAAGGGTAATCTCAGTGACAGATGCGCACGTCTCGCGGATAATCCCTATTTAGTCTCTTGGGATCCTCCTGCCTCTGAATAATCCGACATGTAGGTTGACAACATGCTTGGGGTTTGATCGGATTCGAAGCTAGAAAAAACATGTCAAACTTGAGCCAATCACCGTCATCGCCGCAATGTCGTCATGCCCATCGCAGGAACCGTCGTGGATTGTAGACTTGTTGTCAGGCCGCAGCGCGCAACATCCAGAAACTATGCATAACTACCGTACAATAAATCAGGTGTTGAATTAACCTTTTGCAAAACGACCCTCCTCCTCGTGTCCCAAGGATTCACCCCTTTCCACTCGCGACCTCTCATGAGCAACGAAATGTATTCGTCCCACTCCATCTTATAGCTAGCATCAACGACATCTCTAAAGCTTCACACAGAAGACTTCGATGCAAGGCAATCCGGTGGCTCCGACGGGGTTCAAGCATCCCACAGGTCTGAACAAATTTCAGCAAACAAAGTACGTCGGAGATCCTACATCGAAATTCGGGGGATTCACACTTTATGCGTGAAAGAGAGGATAACAAACGAAAATGTGTACGTCCTTCATTTTCGAGCTTTTGTCGTCGTCTACATCAGCGCAACCCCCCCGTCCAACCAAACCCCTCAGCATCGCATATTCCACACTCGAAAGCAGACCGGACTGTATGAAGAACACATTATCTTCGACTCCGCCTCGCTTCACGTTCTTCGGGAAACATACGACAGACGCGCAAGTTAGTTGTGTTCGGCTGAAGTGCTACATGGCAACGTCGCACACGGACGGTGGTGTGCTCCGTGGAGCTTCGTCGGCCGCCGTACAGTAGTTGTTCATCTCGCCTAACTTGTTCGGCAGGAGAGGCAATTCGATCAATATGGCTACCTCCGGGTACTTTACGCATCGTCCAAAGCCGCAATACCCGGCAATTCCTTGCCCTCAAGAAGCTCCAAGCTAGCGCCTCCGCCAGTCGAAATGTGGCTGATCTGGCTCGCAACGCCAGCTTTCTCGACTGCAGCAACACAGTCACCACCCCCAACTATAGTGATACCGCCTTCAGCGGTGCGGGTGGCCAACGCCTTGGCAAGCTCGTTGGTGCCATTCGCAAACGCATCCCACTCGAAAACTCCGAGAGGTCCGTTCCAGACGATCGTGTTCGCTTGCGAAATCTCCTGTTTAAACTCGTCCACAGCCGACGTGCCGATGTCAAGGCCCATCCAACCGTCAGGGATCTCCTTCGCGTCAACCTGACAACGATGGATAACAATTAACAACGTTAACACGACATGTACACAGTGTCCGAGATTTTGTGCTTGATGTGGTGGAGCATTCGAACTTGCATATGATACAACAATTGTATCATACAGCGTATTCCTGGCTGCCTTTTCACATTTTCGGCCTTCATTTGTGCTATACCTATACGATAACCAACAGTAAAACACGAACAACCGAAGACCCTTCCGAGTCCACCCGCGCGTACAACGCAAAGCAGTCGCCGGGCGATGCAAACTTGCTCACCAGCTGCGAGGCGGCATCGCTAGCAAACTTGTCAGCAACGACCACGTCTTTGGGTAGCAAGAACTTCACCCCCTTCGCCTCCGCCTTCTTCATCAAGTCTCGCGCCATGTCGACGAAGTCTTCCTCAACCAAGGAAGCACCAGTCGACATTCCAAGAGCGCGATAAAACGTGAAGATCATGCCGCCGCCAAGCAAAATGCTGTCGCATTTGTCCAGCAACGACTCCAGGACGGGAATCTGCACCATCACGACGGAGGATTGACGTCACACGATCAACGCAGAACTGCATCGAAACAATGTGCCTTACCGCCAAAAATACAACGGCAAACTGTTTTGGACAAGAAAGAGAATTGAAAACGTGCGTCCATCCGTCGACACAAATTGGAATGCTGATGATTTTTGGACAGGAATTCTTCCAGCGAGAACAAAGGCCCATCACGCCTCGTGTTTGTGATGTGCCTCTGCAGCCGTCACGAATCTGCCTCCTATTCCATGTGTTCTTGGGTCAACATGCTTGAAGGAATTGGCCGCTACTCAAATCCGCATGCCCATGCTCACGGGTGGCATATAGTCGTATATCCGCCAGTGGCATCCCGACATCCCGACTTCCAAATGGTGTCGGAGGTGCCGAGGACCATCTCTTCTTGCGCTCTTGTATTCGCATATACAGCAGTACGGAACGATTCTTCGTTGGCCCCGATCGACCCTTTATTTTCTTTGCCCCTCTACTTGCCTACAATCTCACAGAAGAACACCTCTGTAGAGGTAACAATATACCGCAGCCATGGGACCCTTCCAAAACGTTATCTAAGGAAGGAGCTTATCTCCTCATCTTCATTCGAGAATGACAATAGATTTTCCTCATCTGGAATACTACCGTACCTTCGTGGAGACCTTGGCGCCGCCGATCATGGCGAGGAAGGGCCGGGAAGGGCTGTCCATGGCGCCCTTGAGGTAGTCCAGTTCCTTCTCCATCAGGAACCCTGCCACGTTGTGGTCCATGTACTTGGTCACACCGACCGTCGAGGCATGAGAACGATGAGCAGCTCCGAAAGCATCGTTCACGAAGATTTTTGCATGAGCGGCCAACTGCACAACAATGGGAGTACACCCGACGACGTCAAACATGAAGGATTGTTAGGTTGTTACATGTATCGCTGGATGGATGCCAGAACGAGGTCGTTTGCGCTCACACGGTTTGGCTTGGCACAAATGCAAGACAAAAGACGGTGCTACCCTTTCATTTTCTGCTAGACTCACCTTTTCAGCAAAATCAGGGTCATTTTTCGTCTCCCCCTTGTGGAAGCGGACGTTCTCCAGTAACACAACACATTGCGCCTTCGATGCCTGTCGAAATATAAGCATGTCAACATGTCAAGCACACTGCAAAACACTGACATTAACAAGTATGCCACGAGGCACAGAAGTAGCTCGCTCTTTGGTGTTCCGTAACTTGCAGCAATAAACATGTTGACATACCCTTGCGAATAGCTGCATGCAGTCTTGCACTTCGTACAAAAGTCGTACAAAACGAGACTGTGCCAAGATCAAGGCCGGGGACACTGGGCGGTATGTAAATGCTCGAAGATATACTCAATACCTGCTCCTCGACTTTGTCACCAATGCAGTCAGTCGGGCACGCGACCGGTTCGTCCAGCAGTTCTCCAAGGCACCCCCCGATGTTGCCGATCCTCATAGACTCGACAACTTCGCCCTTCGGTCGACCGGCGTGAGTGCACAGGACCACCTAAACGTCGTTGTCGCAGTGGTTCCAGGGAAAAACGCTCATCTTTCTGAGACGTTCAAGCCAACAACAATGAGCCGGGGAACGCGAAGCGCGACCTTTGTTCTTTCACCCCCACATGTCGGTCTGTTCCAACGCAATCCAGGGCCCCAAGCTTGATTTCCGCCTGATTTCCGGGCGACCGAATATGCCCTCCTTTCGACCAGAACAAGCTCTTGAGATCACCGGTAAACGATCTGCTGGCTTCTGAGGAGGGAGAAAAATAGCGAACGCTGTTTGGTCGTGCTCCGACAACAGATGGCCGTGCTACAGGGGCAGGTGTGCCCAAAATTTTGTAAGAGATACCTCACCCCATCCTCTGCAGTTGCCGAGGAGGTCGCATTACAAAGCGGAGATCTCAAGCGCGTGCGATTCAAACCAGGCAAGAAACAGAGGTAACATACCGTTGACAAGTCTCGCACACCCACAGCATCACACCCACCCGCCGTGGTCCAACCCCTTCCACAAGTAAAGGCACAGAAGAAAACAGCAGACGTGGTGCCCGCTCTCTGGCTAAACAATAGGGAGAGTCTTGACGGTTCTATTTGCCGTCGGACAAATCGATAGGTGAAAACAGGATAGGTTGAGGTCTTGTTGCCCACAGCAGCCACAATAACAGCGGAGAGCGAAGTTGAGGCACTTGGCGTTGTTGCCGCAACCGTCATGTGGGACTCAGAACGATGTAGGGGTGACGTCTATCGCTGGACAACAATAGGGCGGGGGATAAGGGAAGCAAACAAACGACGCCGCCTCCAGCAAGCGAAACAGAGACTGAGGTGTTGACAAACGGTCGATGCGAGAGAACGAGCTGGTTGTGTTGGAATTGCGGTGCTGCTGCCACTCTCCACCTGTTTTCCACACCGCACTGCCCGACGGGTTCTATCTCATGTATCTAACCCTCTCGTTCATTGTTTGTCGGCAGCAGTGCAGTTAGGTGACGACCATGGCGGTACTGCTGTATGTAGCACCGCGTGTGTCACGGCATGTGTGTGTTCCTCCGCAGATCGTCGGTCATTTGACACCAGCGGGGAGCGGATGCCCAACTTCTTGAAGATCCGCTCAATATTTCCATATGCGGACAATGCATGTACGAAGTGCGGAGTCTCCATCACACACAGCATCGAAGATACAGACTACTGCAGGTGTTGAGCTGACCCCGCGGCCGATTACTCCTCAAAATATCTAGTCGCACGGACTGCTTGTGGTAGACACAAGAGCGAATTGTTTGGGTTGAAAAAAAAGCCTCATTGGTCGAGCCTAAGGACGCCGCTATCGGATCAGTGGAGGTGCCTGCAGCAGCAGCATCCTCCATTCCCTGCACGTTCCATATTGTTGGTGTGTGGCCACACGGTGGTGTTTCTCGAACACAGACATGTGTTGCGTGTTGTTCCACTAACCGACGGACCAATGAGGAGACGTCAGCTAGGAGTGAGGAAAAAAATGCCGTTCTCCTCCGGTGCGTGCTGTTGTGTACCATATCTCCACTATTTCGTCCATGCCATGCTGTCGCAGTCTGTTGCCCCGAAAATAGCACACAACAACAGATGAAGCGATTTTTGATAGAGAAGTCAAACTTCGACGGGAAAACACAAAACACTTGATTTCTAAAATTCCACGCAAGTGGCACTTGGTCAAATATGTGCTCTCTTAGCCGCGGTGCACAATTTGAGGAACCCTACACGTCTCGAAAGCATGACACCTATGCATACCTTGGCTCCTTCCTTGAGAAGAAACTTCACCGTCGGGACCACCTATTTGGTGAGAGAAGCATAGCAAAGTGGGAGAGTTAAACGTGGGTTCACCTGCACCGAAACTCCCTGTGGAGGAGTGATGTAGACAAGGTATGCTCGCTCACAATTGCAAATACATGGCGCCAGCAGATTTTGCAGGTGTCGGGCGTGACGGGGACCTTGTGGAACGGAAAACAACGTACTCGTGTTGTCGTGTAACGTATGACAAGGGCAGTGAAATGGCCAGATCGGGACACGGCCAACTCATAACGCGTGGCTGAAGCCCGGACAAGTGATCGAGGTTGTGGTATCCGATGGGAGACACCACCATCCAGGGTCAAACACGCCCCGGTGGTCTAGTGGGTAGTAGCCTCGCAGCCTGCTAAGGGCCAGGTCATGAGTTCGAGTCCCGACAGAGTGAGTTTTTTCTCGCTAATGAAATCCTGGCCTCCGTGGGAAGCGATGCGCTGCAAAAGCTCGTTGTTAGCAAACTTGATCGACTTCTCAAGTCGCGAGGGAAGGGATTGCTGCACCCTTCTCGCGATAAAAATATCTCAGGCAGGAAACGCAGGAGGGGGTCCAACCCCCCCTCCTGTGTGACCCCGGTTGGGTCGTCTAGCTGGTAGAAGTGGAGGATAGGGGCCAGAGGGGCAGACGACAGAGTCCAATGATGGGAGAAAAACAAACAAAACCACATCAGTTACCATAGAAGTACGAGGCATGTTTCCAATAATCTCGAAGCTCGGTATACCGCCGTAGTGTACCCAAACACTTGTATCTTTGGAAATCTTTCAGCTAATTCCAACGCCACCTTCTGTGACACACAGTGACACAAGAGTTACTTACACATGTACAACAGCAGTAGTTTTTATGGTGGGAGAGGTATAGCAGAGACCGACATTGAAAGTTGAAACATCGTCACGCTCTGGTGTCATCTCACGTGTAGCTCAATCATGCACAACATGCTTGTGACCGAGGGACCCGAACAACCTATTGCACCTGCATGCAATATTTTGCAAAACCCGTACGTACAACAGAAATTCACTTCGGTCTGCTCACCGCGCGTGCTCTCGTATCGTCGGTGATGCTTCCATCCTCCTTACTCCGAGGTAGGTTGAGATCCGCTCGGACCAAGACAGGCTTGCCGCGGAGAGACACCTCCTTCGCAAGGTCCTTGATAGTCTTTTTCTTCTTGACGCTGAATGAGCGCGAACAGGTCACAACGCCCTGTGCAGCCCAACGACGAGATAGCACTGTAGCTGAACGGAACATGATGCGAGAGTATAACTGCACACCCGGTGCTTGTGGTGTATGCAAAGTGCGAAGGAGGCTGTGTTGCGTGCGACACACGTCACCCAGGGGCTTTTTTAGTCAAATGCGAGGGGGTCTTATGCATCGCACATGTACGAGCCGCTGACCCCCGCATGCACAAGCCACCACGCCATGCACTGGCCACAGCACCACAACCGCGCACGCTGAGGAATGCATCGAGTCGCGCTGAATCACGGAAGGGTTTTGACTGTTGCTGGAAAAACAAATGCCGCCAGAGGATGGTCGGTACTCTCACGCCACGGCACCCGGCGAGCCCTCTCTGACACCGGTGACAGCGGTGGAGGCTCTGACACCGGTGACAGCGGTGGAGGCTCGGGAGAGAGCTCTGGGCAAAAAGGAGGCGCAAGGGGAAGGCAGAAACAAGTAGGGGGTGCAGGAGGGGCCAAACAGCCCGCGGGCCGGGGCCGTGGAGCATTTAGCCAGTTCCTGAGGACACACGAGGTGCGGCTGTACTCTTTGATGAAGTTTGCGATGTGCGATGCCTCTGCTACCTTGTCAGACCGCCACTCGCGATGTGCTGCGAGCCGTCGCACACACCGAGACGTTGTTGGATGCTTACCTACAGCAGTGCGGCTGAGATCTGCACAGTACAGCAATACAAGAACCAATGAAATAATGAACTGAATCGTTACACCTGGACTGGCTGCTAACATTGGTGCAGCCAGTCGGGTAGAGGAAGATGAGGCAGGTGTACACCAGTACTAAACACTGCAAGTGGCAGTTGCCGTAAGCTGGCATGTATGCATATCTACGGACTCCAGAACCAAGAACTTTGTTGTTGCGCATTTTCTTGCTTCCAACGATCCAGCAAGCACAGCAGTAGCGCAGCTTAGGGTCGTGGTATGAGTGGTCATCGTGGAAGGAGCACTGGTGATGACCTCCTTTCTCCACAATTGCTTCTGTAGGAAAATGCTAATAATTACAGCGTTTCGTACTGCCACACATCCTGCTTTGGCCCTAATCCAAGCATGGTCTATGCGCTCAGGTCGGGCGGCGCACAGCGCATTTCCTGTGATGTGGAGTGGCATCAATATCTTATGCTTGAATATCATAGTCGGACCTCGGTTTGGGTTTTGGTGTGCATACTGCTGGTTAACCCTTAGTACCCACTCCCTCCAAAGAATTTGAGCTTCTTGCCAGCCTTGGCAAACAAAAGGGTGACGTGGCTGCAGTATACAAAGTGTCCCCAAAACACTTTTCTATATCGAAACCGAGTCATCAATTTTCTCCTTTATCAGGCAATGTTCAGTTTTACTACAAGTAGTACGTAGGGGCACACGCGGCTTAGTAGATGTACAGCAAGCCAGAGGCCGAGGAGAGGCATCCCACAGCGTACCACCTCAGCCAAGCATAATAGACCGTGCGTTTCGAACGGCGTACCCTAGGGTGACTACGGTGCTATCAATAGGAGGGTTAAGGACGCGCCCTCTATCAAGGACCAGGCAGGACACTATTCACGAACCAAGGACTAGGGGACACCTTCGTAGAGGCCCCGCAAACCAGTGATAAGGTGTACGGCACTCCCTTTTTTCGCTGTGCTGGACAACACCACAAACAATGCACCCGAGAGAGCGCTGCTGCTACTCGTGTGTGTGCACAGCAGTATGAATAGATTCCCCTCGCCTACGGGCTGCGCGTCTGCGTCCAGCATAACGGTATGTGGAGAACAAATGTGGGCGATGAACGCTGTACGTGAATTTCATCGCAGTAGTAGTGCACCAGTGCTCAAACGCGGGGCGATGTATTTTTCTTCAAGTACTAGATGTACGTACTAGTTTGTTTTCATCGTCAATGCATCCGAGAGACCGCACAGATTGTCATGAACACGCGCAGACGTTTGAAGAACAGGCAGCCTTGGGAATAGAGGCATTGAACAGGGCCTCTCCAATGTAGAAGTTGATAGCGCTGCGAGCGTGTAAGACGAAGACGGTGTCACGCCGGAGTTGTTCATTAAATCTTCGCTGTCCGGGTCCCACTCCCTCTACGAGCAACTTGGCGCTCTTTTGCACGCGAACGGAACGGATGGCGAACACAGCGAATCGCGCTGTCTGCTTTTGAAACTTGTTGCGGCCGCTTACTGACAAATCTCAACTAAAGCTTGCAGCAAAGGAGGGGGGCGGGCTGGTGCACCGCAGGCAGTAATGTATGGACGATTAAGTAGTGTGATGCGGTGCTACCGTGGCTTAGGCAGTGTTCTGCCTGGTCTGGACTGTAGCCCTGTAGCACTCCCCCATCGCTGTCCGCTAGTCCTGTACGGTTGATAGCATCCCTCTAGAAAATACCTTGCACTAGTTTAAGGTCGTGGGTCAACAATAATAAATGTTGAACAAATACCTCTACACAGCAGTAGTATCGCGAAACCACGGGTCAAATCGTCGCCCTGTCAACGCAATTGTATGCTGTTTGTTCGTGGCGTTGCCTCCGCTGCCCCTGGGGATAGCGATTTGGCCCTGCCTAAATCTTGAACACACGTCCTCCGATGTGTAAATCGAGAACCAGGTGTGTCCTAAACCGAGGTTCGGCTGTACCAAGCAAGTACATTGAAAAGTTTAATTTCCCGCTCAACGCATGAGAACGTGCTACTATAAGTATAGAATTGTTCTCAAAGTACGTGTTACTAGAACTGGCTGGTACATACTCAAATCCGACAGTAGATGGAAATACACTACAAGGGTTCGTAGCATCGGAAGATCATCCCGGAGCATATGGTTTTAGAAGAGGTTTGCATGGCAACGGTTTATCACGTGGGCACATTTTCGGCGGCAACCCCACACGGTGGTAGTTTCTTGGCGGTAGACGTTTTTTGCGTGTTTTGGCAGTACCGACTTGGGCGGAGGCGGTAAACACCACAAAACGGCGTTAAACCGGCGGTACCGGAATTTTCACGGCGGCGAAATTCCCGAGTTCATCCTTGTTACTTAACTCACAGAAGTATCGGGGATGCTCGCAACTGTTGTATGCCATACCCTTTCCCGCATTCTGGTATGTATCTACTAAATCCTGGTGTAAACCCCCTTTTCTCGGCATGTTTCTTACTGGGTTCATTTTTTTATCATACCTCGGGTACTGTTCCATCGGATCCTAGAACTCAACACAAGCGGCGTAGAGATGTGGAAGTCTTGCACATCTCTCACAGAAGTACCGGGTAGGTTGTTTGGAAAACACGATTCACAGCAGGATCGGTAGGGTTTGTGAAGTGTTACAGAACTCACACCAGTGTCGAGTATGGATATAATTTTCCCTCCCCCCCCCCTGTAATTTTTTTTTT